TCTCCACTGCTGATGTCAATTTGGAGGGGTGTTGAGTTCAGAGAACAGGGCCCTTGGATTTCACCTCTGAGAAAAGTTTCACCAGAGCTCCCTTTCAGTGGCACACAGTGAGGCAGAGACTGTTAGTTATACCCAAAGAAAAGGAAAGGCAAGAGATTACATGCACAGACACATGCAAGCAGATCTTGCCAGTGCAGAAATTGTGCTGGTATTATTATTAGTGTTCTTTTTGGGAGGGATTCCTCCCATAAAATACATGCATTCCTTTGTGGAATTGTTACCTGTTGTTAAATTAATCACCTGTAGGGCGTGACTAGGTTGATTTGTAAGAAACATAAGAACCAGGGATTCCCTACAGTGGCCTCAATCTCCACATCCCCCCTCTGGTCTGCGCCTCCAGATACTTTCTATAGCATCTGATACCTGCTATGGCAGTTGGAGCCTAAGGATTTTTCATTTCTATGGCTGGTTTAAAGACTATGTGAGTCATTTCTACCCCCACCTCCAGTTGCTGGCCTTGTGACACCTCCATTCCAAATTTTCTACTCTTACCCTCCATTAAACAAGGAGGTTTTTGGGGGGTTTTAGGTGGGGGAGGGAACCCAGTCTTCATTTTATTTTATTTTTTTAATTAAATCTTTTTTTCTGCAACCATGTGCTAGGAAAAGAAACAGTGCCCTGTGGGGAGATCCACGCTTCACAGTCAGAACCACGGGGCTTAAACCACTTCTCTGTTGCTTGCTAGCTTTGAGCAAGAGTCTAACCCTCTGCACTTTCATTTCCCTGTTTTGGGTAAAGAAAATAATCTCCTGTACCTCTTAGCCTACTTTATTCAAGTACCACCAGCCTTATAAGCAAGAAGTCCACATCTCCCACTGGAGGCCACGCCACCCCACCACCCTCCCTTTCCAAGAACCCTGATCCCTCTGCTCAGAGGTGGGGCAGGCCTGGCGCCCGTGCCAGAGGTGCTGTAACCTCTCGTGGCCACAAGGTGTCGCCATGAAGCTTTGCATGGCCCTGCCCCAGCCACTGCCACCTGCAGCCTGGGCCTGGCTAATTCCCCGCAGGGACCTGAGGCAAGAGAGGGCAGGGTCTAGAAGCAGGAGCGTGGTGTCCACCCTAGAATTAAATCCCTTGTAAGTTCACACTCAGCACATCGTGGCCAGTCCTGACTGGTTCCAAACTCAGCTATATGGTATGTCAGAACCTCTCATTTCATTTATTCTAATATACTACTACTAATAATACTAATAATAATTCATAATTACTAATAATAATTCATTTATTCACTTATACTAATCCTACCACATGGCAGGTACCATCTTGGGAGGTTGGGATTTATCAATGAACAAAAATGAAGATCTTTGACCCCCTCAAGGAGCTTGGTGGGCATCTCCCACGTACTCCCCTAAGACTTTTACCTGAGACCAGGTCACCAGCGAAGACTTCTCCCCTCCTGATGAGTTTTGCTGGGGGAGTTTTGCTGGGGCTCACTCATTCAATCTGAACCTACATCTCCTTTTGCATCATCAGAGTGCATGTCCGATGAAGGACTCAATTTCTACATGCACACACACATCCGATCTGTTAACAGGCAGACTAAGGGGCATCTCCAGACCCCCAAATCTGCCTGCCTTAAATGGGTTGCACCATATGCCACATAAAAACAATGCATACCCTAGTGCATAAGAGCTTCAATAAAAAAATAACTAATGCAATTAGTGTGCAATAGAGAGAAGAGAAACTTAAAATAGTTTCCCCAAGAAACAACCAGTCACCCATCCCCTCATGGGTAAATGCCAGGGTTGCTTCAAAGTGTGATCACATCCTTGGTACAGGTCCAATGCCAAGAAGCAAGTACAGTTTCTTCTTCACGTGTCTCTCTGTTCCAGGTGCCTCCTCCAAGTCTCCTCCTTGTCTTCTTTCCTCTCTCTTCTCACCGAAGCCCTTTCTAGCTTCCCCTCGCTGCTCAGCTCCACCCTTCCTTAGAAGATGGGGCAGGGAATCTGGAACTTCCCCTTTGTATGATTATCACACTGTTACAGTTCTACAGTTCACTAGTTTATCTAGAAGTGATGCTTCCACAGAATTCAAGTCATTTCAGATTTTAAGACTTTATACATACTACGTCATTGAAAATCGGGACTCTTACTCATCTTGCAGGGTTGTTAAGATTAAATGAGGAATCTTTCTGAGTCTAAATTCGGGAATACTATATCTTGTTAACTGCTGTATCTCCATCCTTACAATAATGTTGCCACATAGCAGGGCACGTGCAAACACACACACACATATACAGCGATGGAATGAACCTGCAAAGAGTGTCATCTCACTAAATGTAGTTCCTTTGCTTCCTTTTCCAGCACATGAATAGCCCCTCTGATCTGTGAGCTGACTCATGGAGCAAATTTAAGTGTGCTCCAAGTCACTCGGGCTGCAGTCCGTCTAGTTCTAAACTTTAACACGATCCCTAGAGATGTGAGAGTCTCCAGTCAGGACCACACTTTAGGTGGCTAGGCACTTTTTCTTAAAACAAAGTTGCAACAAAATTAAGGCCCCTTTTCTTCTAGTTAAACTTGTGGGAGAGAGGCCAGTAGCAGTAGGATGTTGATGTGCTTTATCTCACAGGATCTGAGATGTCTTGAATTATAAACACAGCCTGATTTCAGACATTTTATTTTTCTTTTTTAAAGATTTATTTTATTTACTTATGCATACAATAACTGGGGTACAGGCCAGAGGGGCAAAGGCGTGAGAAGATTCACCAGAGACAGTGGGGAACAGAACAGGCAGACTGACTGAAACACACTGCTGAGGGGAGCAGCAGGCAAGACAGGAGAGGTCTGCTGCACCATGTGGGTAGCTCCCTGGCCAGGGATCAAACTCCTCATGCTGCAGTGGCTGCTGATAGCTTGATAATGCTGAGACTTAACCCCTTGTGCCACCAGAGAGCCCCTGATTTCAGAGATTCTAAAATATGGTTTAAAAAATTAAAAATTTTAAAAAGTGTATCTAGGACCTGTGGAGTAAGGTACCTGTAATGCTGAGGGAGCATAATGGCCCAGTGCTTGGAGTCTGGTGTCAAGACAGACGCGGCCCCCCCATCCATTACCTACAGGACCATGGGCGGGGTTCTCAGCTCCTATAACGTTGACTTTTCTCACCTTTTTAAAAAATATTTGTTTATTTATGCATGCAAGAGCTGGGGCATAGGCCAGAGGTGTGGGAGTGAGAGAATTCACCAGACACAGAGTGGGTCACAGAACAGGTAGATTGACCGAAGTAACACTGCTGAGGGGAGTAGCCGGCGAGTCAGGAGAGGTCTGCTGCACCATGTGGGTAGCTTCCTGGCTGACCGGGAGATCGAGCTCGTGCTGCAGAGGCTGTGGATTGCTTTATAGGTTGCGTCTTAATGCCTTGCGCCACCAGGGAGACCCTGACTTTTCTCACCTTTAATGTGGCAGTACCCACTAGAGCTGCCTGGTGGATGGTATTGACCCAGCTCTATGTTTAGTAAAATAAAAATCCACAAACTGACCACTTTTGTATTACTTTCAATATATCGTAGCTCTTTGAAGTAAAACTGAGCATAAAAAATAAAACTGCTGTAAAACTTTTAATCTTCATCTTTTGCCCTGTACAGCTTTGAACTTTATACCGTTTTACAACAATGCATTCTTGTATCACTTGTACAGTCATAAAATACATTTATTTTAAAACCAGTAGGATATAAAACAAGTAACTCCCTCCCCCAAAGAAGTAAACCCAATCATTACTTGAAGTCTGCATCAGTTTGGGGGAGGCCATCAGTAGACTTCTGGGAAAATAGTAGCCTGGTACAGAGTTATATGAGCATAAAGGGCTGAGTAAAAGCCCCTGACGGTGTCCACCATTGTGAGCTCAGTGAATATTACTTCTTGGTTTTTTTTTTTAGATTGATTTATTTATTTATGCATACAAGAACTGGGGTGTAGGCCAGAAGTATGGAGGGTGAGAGGATTCACCAGAGACAGAGTGGGGAGCAGAACAGGCAGATTGACTGAAATACACTGCTGAGGGGAGCAGTGGGTGAGACAGGAGAGGTCTGCTGTGCCACATGGGTCACCTCCCTAGCTGGGGATCGAACTTGTGCTGCAAAAGCTGTGGATAGCTTTATAGGGCTGTGTCTTAACCCTTTGCACCACCAGGGAGGCCCTCAGTGAATAAGTAATCTTAGGATGTAATAGGGACTCCATCGACATTTGATGACTGTACATATGATTTCATGAAAGAACCTCAGACCAACTCTTGCAGGGGGTTAGGTGAGGAAGGAGGATTGGGAGATGCTTTAAGGGCAGCAGTTGCCCTCAGGTGCAGACAGCGCCAGCTGAGGTCGGCAGCTTAGAAGGTAAATGTCAAGTTGTTAAACCCAACCCTGGACAAGTACTCAGGGAGCTAATCAAGCCAGACCTCAGAGCCAGGTGTTTATTACAGAAACACTTTCAGATCTTATAAGTGGTATTTTGCCAACAGTGCTGAGGACCTGATTGAGTCCACTAGCAAATAAAGTGAGGTTCCATGGTAGTTGCTCAGAGGACAGGGATATGCTGAGCTCTGTACCCAGCGCAGCACCAGGCAGGGGTGGGCAGCAAGGAGAGGCTCTGGCTGGGTCCCTAACTGCTCCCAGCACCATAGGGATGGTGGGGTGGGGGAGTGTGGGGTTCCAGGAAAACAGACCTCAACCTGCCTGTGGGGAATTCTTACCTGTTTACCTGCTGGTTGTGATTTTGAAAAAAAGACAGGAGTCCCTAGCAGTTTTCTTTCTTCCAGTTGCAGATGGGACTTCACAAATTCCAAAGATGTTCTAGGGAAAGGGAGAAAGCTGCAGGGTTGTGGGCAGCTAACTTATTACAAATGCATTGTTTTTGAAATTAGTTTGCAAAGATCGCTTCTCAAAAAGTTTCACAAGCAGCAGCCTGCAGCCTAGCTAAATATCTCCTTCGCATCACTTTACTTCCCAGGTGACCTTGTACAAGGGCTCTGACATGGAGGACTTCGGGTTCAGTGTGGCAGATGGCTTGCTAGAAAAAGGAGTATATGTCAAAAATATTCGCCCGGCTGGCCCAGGAGATCTTGGTGGCTTAAAGCCCTATGACAGACTCCTGCAGGTAAGACCTCAGGTGGAATTTTAATTAATTTAACTGTTCAGAGTCTTACTGAACCATACCCACCCATCCTCCATTGCCTGTTATCCTATGTTGGATGGAAGCTTTTTCCTTTATGGAAGTGTTTGCCTTTGGTAGAATTTACCTACTATTACAAACACCCGTGTTCCTGTATATGTTCTTCAGCGATTATAAACTTCTTGGAAACAGGGCTAATGCCTTCTTCTCCCAGGTCTCATTACACGGGTGCTGCTATCTCAGTCTTGAATTGGGGTTTTGGGAGCAGGCCCGGAGTCTGAGGACCCCCGAAGGACTCTTTCTAGGTTCTTGTCTTCAGGCGAGGAAAGAATTCAACATTGAGGCCAAAGTTATAGAAAAGCAAGAGATTTATTGATAGACAAGCAGAAGAACAAGAAAGCTGTCAGAGCGGAGATGGGTCCTGAGTGGATAGCCACCGAGGGAGCAAGAAGCAGGTGCTTATATGGGTACAGTAGGCAAGGATAGGCGATTTGGCCTTTGGGTAGCTCTGTGTTGTGTCTTTTGCTGATTGGCTGGGCCCACGGGGGTCTCCTAGACTACCGAGAGCCACTGAGTTTGCCCACGTTACCTGGCCTGCCTTCCCAAAAGTAGCTTTGGTCCACTGCTGGAGCACTGTGTTACTGTGTTGTGTTCTGGACATTTCACTCTTTACTAGGTTGGGGTAGGGGGCACCCTCCTGGGCCCATGATTGTTTCTCAATCAAATTGATAAATCAACATAAGGCACCTGGGCTTAGGGGTGCCTTCCTGAGTCCAACCTGTTGTTCTTATTCAGACTGATAAATGATCTTGGGACACCTGGCTGGACGTTTGGGGTACCCTGTTCCTATCTACCCATACCCATATCCTAACTTCCTCATTCAGAAGCAGTCTGTAAGTGAATTTTAAAACATGTTTGCAAAAATTAAGAAGTGAAAGTTGGTGAGCACATGGATAATCTCAGGATGAGGACATAGGCATCCTTCTAGGAGAGGTAGTTCGGTCAAGAGCATGGATTTCTAGAATCAGCCATACGGCCAAGGGTCACATCCTAGCTCGACCACTCACCAACTGCTGATCTAAGGCAAATCTGTCAAACACTCTGTGCCTTATTTTCCTCATCTGTAAACCGGGAATAATATTCAACACTTCACACCTGCCATCAGTGAGGTCATCTGCTCAGCATGGACCTCTGGGATGTCTTCTCTGCTCTCAAGGATTTTACACTGTAGCAGCAGAGAAGTAAACTAATAGCCACATTTCAGCATTAGAGTGGGACAGACCCCTCTCTACAGGGTGCTTGTTAAGTACCTTCAAGAACTTACTGCACCAGAGATGTTACTCTGGGTTTTGGGACATGGTCTATGGCAAATAATTCAAAATGGCCCTTCTTAATCTTTCAGGTGAATCACGTCCGAACAAGAGACTTTGACTGCTGCCTTGTCGTGCCCCTCATAGCAGAATCTGGTAATAAGCTGGACCTGGTTATCAGTAGAAACCCACTTGCTTCACAGAAGTCTATAGAACAGACTCTACCCGGAGAATGGAGTGAACAGAACAGTGCTTTTTATCAACAGCCTAGCCATGGTGGTAATTTGGAGATACGAGAACCAACTAACACATTATAGCAACGCTTTTTATAAAGCAGGACAAAAGACAATATCTATACATGGTGCTAAAAAAATCCCTTTAAGATTTCTGTGACATTTGAAGCACAGATAATCACGCGGCATTAACTGCAAGCACAGGGGTCTTTTAAATCTCACTCACGGCTCATGTTCACTTCCCTTTTCAAGATGAAGAGGTTTCTTTCTTGGTAACCACTCCGGTAGAGGGCAGGCAAGTCCCTGCCAAGCCCAATGGTAGAGAAAAAGTAAACTAGGTAGGCCACCTCTTCCCACAGTTACCATCAGAGGACATTTTTTACAAGTTAATCTTCCTATCATTTTTTAAAAAGAGAAACGTATGTTTGAAAATATTCTCTATGATCATTTCCTTAATTCACTTTGAAATCAGTTTCTTACTCTGAAGTCATGAGCGTAAGAACTGGATCAAGAAGGCTTTTCATAAAGCTGGCTCTCCTAGGGGAAATAGAGTTTGGTGAAGCGCTGGGGCTGCTGCTATGGGAGGGGGAAGGTATAAAATTAAGTTACTTAAAATGTTTCAGCAACGATGCAAGTAGGAGACCATAATAGGTGGTGGTAAATGTTTTGCCCAAGTATAGGAATGATTTTAACTAAGATGTATGCTATTCCCTATGCAACAAATTATCAAACAGGATATGTCTTGTGACCTGTTTTTTTTTTTTTTTAGGACACATTTTTAATAGCTGAAAATCTCTGATAATTAGAGTGGTTAGTAACACTGAGAATTAGTTATTTTTAAAATTCAAGACTAAGAATTTAAGAGAGAATGAAGAGTCTATTAAATGAGGTTTATCTTAATGGTAGGCAAATCAAACTCATACTGCTTGACTGTTTTGAAAACTGGTTATATTGAGGGGTGTACAGCACATGTACTTATAAAAATGACACTGGACTATCTTTTGTTCTGAGCCATGCCTCTTAGTGAAATTGTAAATACATTTTCCACAAAATGCATTGCCAATTATTACCATCCCTCAAAGCAATAAATTGTGACAGTTGCTTTTAATGTTTGTCAGCAACTGTTTCCATTTGTTCAGATATTTTGAATAGTTAACACAATAATTGTTATTTGGTGAATATAAAAAAAATAGATCTGTATATTGATTGTAGAATTCCATACTGAAATGGTTCTTTTCCAAACATTTTCATTTTGGTCAATAACTAAAACAGCTGCTTAGGTAAAGCATTTGAACACTGTGTCCTTTGTTCAAGGAAAAAGCTCACCTTTGTTTTTGTGCAAAAAAATATGTTATTTCAATCATATTTCAGAACCACCAGGGCAAGAAAGTATAAAGCAGAATCATGTTAAGAAAAAAAAAAGATCATGAGTCACTTAAATATGTATTTTTATTTGTAACAAACAAGTATTAAACTGTAAAGTATTTTTGTACAAATTTAATACTTTAATAGCATGGTATTTATCGTCTATGTATGGTTTTGGGGAATTCAAAATTGTTGCAAATATTTGTATGGAAAAAAAAACCCTCTACCAAATGGAATAAACAGTGATTTTAAAGGCCAAAAAAAGAGGTGCATTTGTTTTGTTGTTGCCTTGCATATACTTCAGTGTTTTAGACTGAGTCCTACACAGTTAGTATTTGTGTAGGAATCTATTAAAACCAATTAATAAGTTTAGCAAGGTTGCAAGATACATCAGTATACAAAAACCAATTGTATTTCTATACAGTGGCAATGAACATTCCAAAACTAAACAGACATTTTTTTAAAAGCTAGTAAAAGAAGTACAAAACTTACACTGACTACAGTGAATCGTTGAAAGAAAAGAGAGAAGACATAAACAGGAAAAGATCCCAGGCCTATGAATCAAAAGTCTTAAGATTTAGATGGCAATAACCCCCAGATTATAGATTCAACACAACCCCCATGAAAATTCCCACATGCTGCTTTACAGAAATTGACAAGCTGATCCTAAAATTCACATGGAAATGTAAGACACCAAAAATAGCCAAAAAATATTGAAAGAGAATAACAATTGGATGATTCGTGTTTCTTGATTTCAAAACATACCACAAAGCTAATGAATCCAGTGTGGTGCTGGCATAAGGATAGATGTATGTATAGATCAATGGAATAGAATGGAGAATCCAAAAATAAACTTTCACATTTGTAATTAATTGATTTTTGACAAGCATACCAAGACAATCCAATGGAGAGAGAATTGTCTCTTTAATAAGAGATAGAGCTGGAACAACAGGATATCCACATGTGAAAGAATGAAGGTGGACACTTACCTCACCACATATAAAAATCAATCCAAAATTAATCAAGGAACTAAATGTAAGACCAAGAACTATTTAACTCCTAGATGAAAAATAAGAGGAAATCCTCATGGCTTTAAGTAGGATTAATTTCTTAGATATAACATCAAAATCATGAGAAATAATAAAAATAGATTGGACATCATCAGAATAAAAATTTTGTGCTTCAAAGAACGGTCAACAAAATGAAAATAAATTTTAAAGAATAGGGAAAAATTGCCAATGTTTCTAATAAGGGACTTGTATGCAGAATAAAAAAACCTCATATCTCAGAATAAGAAGAGATTTATTAAAAATGGGTTCTCAAGGATGAATGCTTGAAACATAACGTGATAATGCAATGCTACTTCAATTTAAAAAAATTAAAATCGGCAAAAGCTGCACAGACATTTCTCTGAAGAGGACGTACAAATGATCAGTAAGTACATGAAAAGATGATCAACATCATTTCCCCTAATGAAAATGCAAATCAAAACTACAAGGAAGTACTATTGCTCATCCACTGGGATAGCTATAATCAAAAAGTCAGATAATAAATGTTGGAAAATAAATTTAGAGAAACTAGAACCCACACACTTTACTGGTATAAATATAAAATGGTACAGATGCTTTGGAAAATGGTCTAGTAGTTCCTGAAAAGATTAAACATATTTACCATATCACTCAGCAATTTAACTCCTAGGTATTGTACACAGATGTTCATAGCAGCATTAGTTATAATAGTCAAAAATTAGGGGGAAAGCAATGTCCACCAATTGATGAATAGATAAATTCAATGTGCTATCTCCAGACAGTGGAACAGCATTTGGGAATAAAAAGCATCTTTCTGCCTCATTACATCACTGAAATCAAGAGGGATCCCCTGCAGTTCTAATGGACCCACCTGCAAAAATTCAGCCCAGGGTTCCTGATTTTACAACAGCTCACCCTGATCCAGAAATTCAGCCTCAATAAATGCCAACAGTGTTTCCATAATATAGAAATGGCCAATGCTTCAAGTTCAACTGTGTGGTCTTCCTTGAATGGATTATCCCAGACATCTCCCCAATAAAAACAATAATACTAGCTCTTATTATACATAACTTTTTAAATCTTTTAAAAAGAAAGATAGGAAATACTGATACACACTACAACATTACGTCTGAAGACATATGCTAAGTCAAAGAAGTCAGTAACCAAGGACCACATACTGTATGATTCCATTTATCTGGACTGTCCAGAGGAGGCAAAGCAAGAGAAAGGAGATTCAAGATTTTCTAGGCTGGAGGGGATAAAATGTACAGGGCTTCTTCTTGGAGGTGATAAAAATGTTCTAAAGTCATTTGTGGTGTTGGCTAGACAACTGTAAATACACTAAAAACCATTCACTTGTCCACTTTGTACACATTAAATGGGTGCATGTATGTGAATTATATGAATAAGGCTATTTTTTAAATACTGGGATAACAGATAGATGTTTGTCCTCTTAACTTTTTCCTTGACCATTTAACAATGAGAGAACACAAATTTCCACAGTGGAATTATTCAAAACATGTGTCCCCAAATAAGTGATTATGACATGATAGAAGTATTAGTTAAAACTACAGTGGTAATCACACTGCAATATACAGGTGTATCAAATCAACACATTGGATACTTTCAATTCACAGTAGTCTATGCCAATTATATGGCAAATTAAGAAAAAACAAAACCAATGTGTTTCCAGTTCAGAAGAAACTTCCAGGAAAAAAGGGCCAGATGAGCTGGGCCTGGGCAGCAGCGATGGAGGGGCGATAGCCTTGTGAGAGGACTACTTTAAGAAGCCACAATATCCTGGGATGTGTGTCAATGAAAAGAGCAGCAATTACAGTCACTGCTCGTCCATTGGCTAAGATCAAGTGAAGAGATGCAATTACAGTTATCCTTTACCATTGCTTCAAACCACTGGCAGGCATCATCCCCAAGGATCATGGAAATTTAACAAGACATTAACGTCAAAATACCTTTGACAGCAGAATCTTTTCAAAGAAACATGTAATCTCTTTCCCCCTCATTTGTGTTCAGTGCTACCAGTTCTCATGATAACAGATGTTGACATCATTAGGTTTTCTCTGATCAAATGAATTTGAAACATCTGTACAATACAAGCACCTTAAAAATGAAACTTCAGTGACAGACATCCTTTTATCTTGATACTGTGAAGCAACGAGGTTCCTTTTGTGTTAAATGGAAAACAGACAAATTAAAAAAAAATTTTTTTAAATATTTGCTTCCCCCCACCCCCTCAGATTGAATTCCCATAGAATTTCCTTCCCCAATGCACCCGTGCACCATCACCACAGTCTCCTGTTCTCCTCCCTCCCTCCCGCTGATCCCTCTCCCTCCTCCTCCCCTGCAGGATGTCTCTGATTTATAATCGTCTGTTTTTGCTTTGTTGTGTTTTATACTATTACTGTATTTTTTTACACTGATGTCCTTTTTGGTTCCCCTATATTCCTGCTATAAGTGAAACCATTTGATATTTTTCTTTCCTTCTGGTTTATTTCACTGAGCATAATTCCTTCTAGCTCCATCCACGTTGCTGTGAATGGCATGAGTTTATCTTTTTTTGATTGCTGAGTAATATTCCATTGTGTATATGTGCCACATCTTCTTGACCCAGTCATCGATTTTTGGGCATCTGGGTTGTTTCCAGGTTTTACCTATTGTAAATAGTGCTGCAATAAACATAGGGGTACGGTTATTCTTTTGAATCAATGTTTTTGTGTCCTTTGGGTAGATCCCCAGGAGTGGAATTGCCGGGTCATATGGTAGCTCCATTTTTAGTAGACTGAGGAACCTCCAGACAGCTTTCCATAGTGGTTGGATCAGTTTGCAATCCCACCAATAATGTAGGAGAGTTCCTTTTTTTTACCACATCCTTGCCAACATTTGTTGTTGCTTGTTTTTTTGATATGTGCCAAGGAATAGACAATTATTTTGAATAATCCGAAATAAAGTTAAGTTTCTTGATTGTTGGTAGGTTTGAAAAGTTGCTTGGGGCTTAAACAATTGAGTCTCAAATTCTGAAGTCTAGAAGATACTTGTGGAGATGATTCTTCCAGCTGGAAAAGAGCAATAAAAATAAAGTTAATTTTGTAAAAATGTAGTCCGTCTACCCTAAGCACCTCTAGTCTCTTTGCTTTTGCAAAAGACATAATACTTTCTCCGCACCCCCTGGGAGACCTGAACAGATCAACCAGCTGTCAGTTTCTAGTAGGATCCTGGCTGCTTCTGCTCCCTGTGGTGGTCCAGCACCCAGCTCCAGGACCAGCATGTAGCAGTGCATACTGGTTGAATGAATACATACAACTAATTCCTACAGGTGTAGACAGGACCCACCCCACAATCGAGCAGTCCAGTACAAAATTTAAACGTGGGCCCCTTGTTCAAAAATTAATTTCAAGATGACACCACAGAAATTAAAGCAAGTGGTGTGGGTCTTTCTGAGCACAGAGTCCTGTCCACCAGCCTTCCCAAGCTGCAAGTCCACGATTCCAGCCCTGAGCACCGTGAGACCAAACTCAGCCATGCCACAAGCGTGCACTTGGCACCACTAGTGAGCCCCAACCACAAGTCAATGGACCAGGATGGTCATGAGGAAATTTCACCACCATTGAGAAATGCAAAAAATAAACATGGTTCAATTAATCTTTCATAATACCAAGTCTTTTCAATTTAGGGGACAGTGATGGTTGATTTTGTGTGTCAACTTGGCTAAGCCACAATATCCAATATTTTGTCATCTATGGTTCTATATGTTTATGTGAAGGCATCTTTTAGTTTAACATTTAAATTAGTAAAGCAGATTACCCTCCATAATGTAGGTGGGACTTAACCAATCAAATGAAGGTTCTAAGAGAAAAAAGACTGACCTCTCCCTAGAAAGAGGGAATCCTGCCAGCAGACTACAAAGTCAACTATTTTCTGGGTCTCCAGGCTGCTAGGCTACCCTGAGGGTGCTGGACTTTCCTGCCTTTACAATCACAGGGTCCTATTCCTTAAAGCTAGATACACAGATGACTGATTGATGACTGATAGAACTACAGACACAAGGAGGACTATATTCAGGGTTTTGTGCTGGTATTGTCCTAGATATTCTTAGTGTTAAAATGCTATTTTTAAAACTCTTGAAATTATTGTTTTATATAAAATTTTAGAATGTTTACACATTTCTATTTTAAAAGGGACATTTTTGTTTCATCTATCGTGGGGCAGGGGTATAGGTGAAAAAAAAAAGATGAATATTTTTGTACCAAAGCTATAAATCCATAGAGAAGCAAAGGCTTTCACCTAGGAGGGGCTCAGGCATTAGTATTTGTACAATTTCAGTGCTGACTGGGTCTTAAGTAGCCATGCGAATGTGAAGGAAGGCTCTGTGGGCAGTCCTTGTCCCTAAACTTGATCTATTAGAAATGACACATCTCAATGCAGTTGGAAGTCTAGAATTAAGGAAACATAAATCCCTAACTTATCAGTCCTGAAGCTTTGAATTCAAGTTTTATTTCTAGAGATTCCAGTAAATATCACATATTTTTGGCAAACTGTAAAGAAAACTTATTTTCTTCAGTAAGAGCACTTTGTGCATCAAGCAGTGACATCAGCCAGCGCCAGACAGCACCCACCATCACCCTCTGCTCATAGACATTCTGTCACATTGGCCTCAGCCAGAAGAGCTCTGGCAAGCTCAGAACTGAAGGTGGATAATGCTGCCATTTTCTTTTTGTGTGACCACCTGAGCCATAACCTACACAACCCAAGTTGGTGCTAAGAAATACAAAGCAAAAAACTTTTAGAAAAAGAATCTTGGACTCCCTAGTGATCTAGGGGTTAAGTCTCAGTGTTCTCATCTCTATGAATTGATCCCAGGCCAGGGAGCAACGCACAAGGCACAGCAGACCTCTCCTGTCTTTCCTGCTGCTCCCCTTAGTAATGTATCTCAGCAGATCTGCCTGTTCTGCTCCCCACTCTGTCTCTGGTGGATCCTCTCACCCCCCACACCTCTGGCCTACACCCTTGTTCTTCTACAAAAATAAATTAATATTTAGGAAAAAAAAAAAAAAAAAAAGAACCTTTCTTTGGAATTGCCTCTTTTTCTGTTCTGAGTCAAAAGTCTTATTTATCCCCAAGGTCTTTGCAAGAGATAAGAGATTTAATTTCAGAAAAAGAAGTTTTGCAGAGGTAGAAATTTCCATATCAAAGAGCTGATCTGAAGTATAGAAGGAAGCTTAGGATCAGAGGCTCCCACTTCCAAGAAGAAAAGGACAAACTTCCTTTTCCACTATATCCGCTTTTATCACTGTCTCCACAAAACCTGTCCCTCAGCCTCTTTCCCCAATTCTGGCTCATGGTGTATGGGCCCAATTCAATGGCCAAGCCCAGGAAGCGCCCTCAGGCCCCAGCCCACCTGCACAGAACTGATTACTCAGTCCCATGCACTCCACCCTGCAGAGTCTCCATCGCCATCTCTACTACCTGCCTTTAGAACCTAATCTTTTGGCCCAAGCTACTGAAATCATCTTTTTTGCTGGAACTCATCCTCCAGCCTCTCCCTAAACATAACCCACTACTCTTCAAAGTCACCTTCACAAATTTCAATTCAGAGAGTGCCTTAGGCTCTCCACTGCAGAGGGACAAATAATCTCTTTAGAAGAGCCTTTGTCTTCCTGACTCCTCCTGTGTTCTCTGCTCAACCTCCCATCTGCAGGCTGTGCTCTGGACGCCCGTGAGATGCCAATACCGCACACACTGTGTCCTGCCACGCAACTCTGAGACAAGTCCTCAGCTGTCTCGTGTCCATGGGGGCTCAGCGGACGTGAGTATTCTGCCTTCAGAACCCAGTCTGGCACGGGCAGGTCACATCAGCACTTCTCTTTCCTCCTGAACAGTGGCCCCTTCTTCATTACAGCCCTGGAAGTCTAAAGTCTCACAAGTCCGTTGCCGCCCATGAAGCGGTTCTTCAGCTGCTGTTGGAACTACATTTGGAGATAATTTATAATCCCACCTTTTATTTATTTTTAACACAGAACTTTACTACTCAACTTGAAAAACTTATAAAACTAGAAAGTAAATGACTGTGGATTGTTTTGAAAAATCAAAATAGGTCTCAATAGAAGTCTGCTTCTGTTAGAAGCAAATGAATCTTTTACTACTTCTGAAAGTGACTCTCAGAAGGATGCTCAAAATGAGGAGGGCACTGTAAGAATAAGTAAGACATGGAGCACAAACAATATGAAAGAAAAATTAAAGTTTTATTCTTTCCTGAATTAAACTCTGATGGTCTGATTCCTTTTTTTAAAAAACTTCCTTGCCATTTAATCATAAAATATATTCAGATTTTAGTCACTAAATATTTTTGAAGCGTATCATGGGATCAGCAATCATACCCAAAATGATACAAATGGTGTTCTCAGAAGCTTTATTTACTGCTTATTTACTAAATAGGACAGCACAAAGGGCCAAGTATGATGGCCTCCAGCAGGAGAAAGAGGAGGCTTTGTGAACAAAACAGAAACAATTGAGCTGGGTTCTAATAGGAAAAGAGACAGGATGGTGCATATAATCTGATAAGAATGTCTTGATTTTCCCAATTAAACTCATGAAGTCATTGTACCCATTCCTTTCTGGTTGCAATAGAAGAATCTCCTGTACCCAGTGGGAGCGCAACCCCCCACTAATGCTCTCGATTTTACCCTTCTCTGCCACATCAGGACTTCATTCCTGCAATAGTGAATTTCCCTTTCTCCACTGGACCATTCCACCAACACACTAATCATGCCTTAAGGTATCCATGCAAAGCAAATAAATCAAAACTCCATCCTGACCATGAATCTTCTATCTAGATACAACCTTCTCTCTCTGCTTCTTTTCATAACAACCTTCTTCAAAAACTCTACCTCTGCCTCCCTGCACTCTCTCACCTCATTTTCTCTGACCAAACTAGGCTCATGAGACTTTCGTCCCTTCCCCATCACCATGGCTTTCCATCTCTCTTACTCATCCTTCTTTTCAATCACCTTTACTAGTTCCTCTTCCTCTGTCGGATTGTAAAAGTTGGGAGTATCCCGGGCCTCCCTGCTGGAGCAAGGGGCTAAAGTCTCAGTACCGTCAAGCTATTGCCAGCCATTGTGGCCTGAGTTCAATTCCCGGCCAGGGAGCTACCCACATGGCAAAGCAGACCTCTCCTGTCTCGCCCACTGCTCCCCTCAGCAGTGGATTTCAGTAGATCTGCCTATCCTGCTCCTCACTCTGTCTCTGGTGAATCCTCTCACTCCCTGTACCTCTGGCCTACACCCCAGTTCTTGTATGCATAAATAAAAAAAAATAAATCTTAAAAAAAAAAAAGTTGGGGGCCTCCCCGGGTTTAGCGCTGTTCTGTGAAGCTGTCCACAGCCTCTGCAGTGTGGGTTCAATTCCCGGATGGCCAGGGAGAAAAACACATGGTGCCTGCCTGTTCTGCTCCCCGTTCTGTCTCTGGTGAATTCTCTCACCCTCCCACGCCTCTGACCTGTACCCCAGTTCTTGTATAAATAAATAAATCTTTAAAAGAAAAAGTTGGGGGTATCCCAAAACCGTTAAGCTCCCCACCTCTCTTTGTGGTCCCCCTTGAAATTAATTCACCTATTTCTTTAGTTACCATAATGGTAATTAGCAACATGGTAATGATTCGCAAATGGACATTCTCCACCCCAATCCACTTTGCTGCCCCAAACTCTATCAAATCACTGACTATCACAACAAGCCAATCAAATGTCTAATTGACAGCTTAACTGTAACATGAAAAGCCACCTCTTCATTCCCCATTCTCATGTCTTGCCCATCTCAGAGAATGGCAGTGAAATTTGCCAAGTGGCTTCTGGATTACTTTTGCACTCCCTTACAGCTGGTCAACAATTGATATCGATTCCCCCTCCAAAACCCATTAGGAATCCAGCCACTCCCCCTTGACCTCCCTGTTCTTTCTCTAGGCTCGTCCTATGGCAGCCTCCTGATGGGGTTCCCTGCTTCACTTTACTTTCCACAGTTCACTATCCATGGCAGCTGCAGGGGTCGTTTTAAAACACACATCAGATGACATCACATGTCAGCTGAAAGTTCTCCAACAGATTCCCACTGCAAGCAGAATAAAATCCCAACTTCCTCCCTTGGCCCTGCCTATCTCCCCAGTATCGTCTCCAATATGCTCATCCTACTTTAGCCACACTGGCCTGCTGTCCCCTTACAACAAGGTCTCCCCTTTTCAGTCTTTGCATCTTCTATGTCCTCTGCCCTCCTCAAAGCCTTAACATCACTCAGTGCTTGTTCACACATCAACTCCACAGAGAGGCGTCACTTGACCATAGTAGCAAAGTAGCTAGCAGCCCCTGTCTGCTGTTCCCTACCCCTCCATCATTCCTTACTTCATTACCTTTATTCACAGAACCTTTCCTGATCTGAATTATTTTTTTTTCCTCTGTATTTACTGCCTATGACCATTGGCAGAATATGTTGTCTGTGAAACCAGAGACTTGTCTGTTTTTCTCCCTCCAATATTTAGACCAGTGACAAGCAGAGAAGCTAAAATCTTTTTGAATGCTGAGGGGAGGCGGGGGCAGAGAAGGATGCATCCAAACCAAACAGTACAACAAAAGCCAGAAGGAGGAGATGAAAACAATTTGGTTCATTTAAATGAATGAATAGACTAACTTGACTAAAGCAGAAAACGAATAGTAAGAAATTACATGATGATGGGAAAGTCAGACTCAAACCAAGAAAGGCATCAAAAGGCAAGCTAAATAACATGGAATTTACGTTGTAAACACTATAGAGCTAGCAAAGGCTTCTGAACAAAGGAATGAGTTGGGCACCTGAGGAGTTAATTTGGTAACAGGTATAGGTTGTACTAGGAGACTGGGTACAAGAAAGGTTCAACAATTATCCATGAAGATAAGAAAAAGACATAAAGTAGAGGGCCTCCCCGGTGGCGTAGCAGGTTGAGCGCAGTGCTGTGAAGGTGTCCACAGCCTCTGCAGTGAGGGTTCGATTCCCGGCCGGCCAGGGAGATTCACACATGGCGCTACAGACCTTTCCTGTTGTGCCTGCTGCTCCCCTCAGCAGTGCATTCCGTCTGTCTGCCTGTTCTGTTCCCCACTCTGTCTCTGGTGAATCTCCTCACCCTCCCACGCCTCTGGCCTGTACCCTAACTATTGTATAAATTAAATAAAATAAATAAATAAATAAACCTTTTTTTAAAAAAAAAAAGACATAAGGTAGAACAGGCTAAATGGAATGGAAGAAATCTCTGAGAGGGACTTTTTGTAATGAACTCAGCAATTAACTGGAGGAAAAGGGTGAAATCCAGGTTGAGTCCAAGGTTTTAGTCTGTGTAACTGGGAGAATGGTGTTTGAAATGAAGAAGTTAGGAAAGAAAGATGTTAGGCTCTGGTTCCAGAAAGTCAACCTGTAGGAACAAAGACATGGATTGAAGAGTTGGCTCATTATCGCCTTTTCAGCCAGTGACTGACAGACTGTCCCCACCATGGACAATCAGTGCAAGGTAGAAACTATCATTAATCTGTAGGTGTTCAGTGCCTGGGGTGTTGGGGACAGTTGAAAACTATTTGTTGACCAAATCACTGGTGCAAAGTTGAAGCAATCAGTTCTAAAGGAAAAAGCCTTAGGGCAATGTCTCAGGCAGAGGGGGGGGGGAAATGAAGAGGAGATAGGGGAAGAGCTTAGGCAACACTACAAACAAGGGAAGGAAATATTAAAAGTTTAAAATAAGGCCAAAGAAATGCCCTTTGAAGTTGACGAAAAGGTGATTGCAATCAGCCACTTCAATGGAGTTGTGGGGATAAAGTGAGACATAGGCTCACCAAAGCGGGTAAGGGAGGTGCTAAGGAAGACAGACAGACAAAGGGGCAGGAGGAAAAGAAGTTTCTCCTGGAGCCACCTCCATCCATCCAGTCATCTGCCTTTAGGGCCAGCCTCAAGCAGAGTGAGCACAATCAACAAAAATCAACCAGACTTACAGAGAGGAAATGTGAAATGTGACCAGAACACTTGGAGTCCAATACAAAGTAACACTAGGAAAATGCGGTCATTTGCAAGCACACTGAAGTCAGCAATATTTAAATAAAACTTGAGCATAGGAAACAGCCATCCTACCATAAGGATTTTGTTTGGACTTTCATCTTCATCCATGCCACAGGTTCTTTTGGGACCTCGAGATAGTGATGCCTCCTTGACTGGACTCATCTTATTGGGGGGTGTCCTGTACCCAGCCACAGGGGCTACAGGGAGCGGCAATGATGAGGCCTGCATGTTGCCGGGGCCTCCCATATCTGCAGAATTCTTTGATGGGGATGCAAAATCTGCTGAAGATGCACAGTTCACGTAGAGTTTGTCTTGCAAAAAATGTTTCAAACGAGTTCTTCTGGGAATGCTTTTATTCTTAATTGACTTCTGGAGCTGAGACTCCTGTGCAATGACGTACACTCTGCTGCGGCCCCGGGTGACCGCAGTGTATACGTGCTGCCAGTGCTGGCGGCCCGCGTGCCCAACCACATAGACCACAGTCTGCTCCTCAGACCCCTAGGAGGGAATAATTATGGAGACTTAATATGGTGTGATTGGTTTTTGGCTTCAGAACGGGCTACAAAGGCAGAAAGGAGACAAGTCTTCAAAATGCCCTTGAGCACCTTCTAGCTAGCCAGAGGACACACACAAATCCATTTATGGGTTTCATTTTAGTCATTATCAAAGACTCCTGTTTTCTAATTATATTGCTAAGTTCAGGTCTCATATAGGTCCACAGCTGTCTCACAGAAAGACTTAGCAAGAAACTTAAAAGACTGTGTGTAGTGCTAAAACTGCCCTAATACAAGAATTTGAAATGATATGAGCTTTTATGTGTAAATGTGTTGTCTCACTGCTTGTACATAAAAAATAATACCTGAAACAGTCAATAATAGGATATTCATTTATCTATTTACATTAAGTATCTAGCATCTATATACAATGTAATATAGATACCTGATATAATATTTTGCAAATATCATAGATGCTTTAAAATATAAAAGCATATATGCAAAGAATTGTGTAACACAATTATCTAGCATAAAATAAAATTACTCTGATCCAAAGAAACACAAAATGAACTTAAAATGGTAACAAAAACAAAACAAATCACAATAAAAGGGAAAGGAAATTGTACCAAAATTTTTAACTAGTCTACATCCAAATGGATGATTTTTTTTCCCTACTTTTCTGTATTTTCCCATTGTGGAACCATCTATTATTCTTATCAAGATAAATAAAACCAAAGAGAACAAGAAACTTTTATAAGTTCAACAAACCAAGGATTGTATAGGCAAGAAAAATGCTCAATGTCACTACATAAATGTGAGAAAACAATTTCAAATTTTGTGCTATTCTTAGTCTCCATGTTTTCAGTGCCAACATAGACACAAAACAGCTTGAACCATTATCTCCCCCAATGTTTCCACATTCTCCCTGCCAAAAAAGAACACGTGGAGAGACAAATGACAAGATGGAGCACATAGAAAATACAGATCCACAGTAAAAAAAACAAAAAACAAATCCTCATACAAAGTGGCACTTCTAGCTCTCTAACAGAGTTTGAACCAACCACCTCTTCAAACATTAATTCAAATGACACTTAATTACACAATAGTTAAATACATTTTACAGATACATGTACCATAACTTCCTCTGGACTTTATAGTATTCTGAAACAGGCAAATGAGTACAAAGTTAATCTCTGTACTGTGTATTTTGCTTCCTAATTAAAAATTAAAATAATAGCAACAAAATTTAGAAAGCAAATAATGCAAGGTACACTACGGGATGGCAAGCTATTGTCCATTCTTACCTGAAAAGTGTGAATAGTCCTTGCCCATGCATGTTTTATGCAACAATGTTTCATTAGTTTCTCAAACTCCACAGTTACTTCCAAGCCAGCCATATTATTAATGGTCAAAAATCTTTTCCTTCCAAAGGTCACATCAGTGACATCCTGTTACCAAAACAAAGAACTACTTTGTATATCTTCAAATATTCAGTAAAGGTATTCTATCACTGGGTTGAAAGGTAAAATACAATCACTTTATAAATAAAACAGCACGAGGGCCTCCTGAGGCGCAGTGGTTGAGCACTGGGCTGCAAAGCTGCCCGCAGCCTCTGCAGCGCTGGTTCGATCACCGGCCACCAGCAAGGGTCCCACATGGTATGAAGACCTCTCCTGCAGCCCGCTGCTCCCCTCAGCAGTGTTCTTCGTCACTCTGCCTGTTCTACTCTCTGCCCTGGCTCTGATGAATTCTCTCACCCTCTGGCGCCTCTGACTGTACCCAGTGCTTGTATAAATAAATTAATAAATCTTAAAAAAATAAAATAAAAAAATAAAACAGCACGTACATTCATAAAATATTAAGAATGTCAGAAGATTTAAAATATATACTTGAGTAGGGCCTCCCTGGTGGCGCAAGGGGTTAAGCACCACACTATGAAGTGATCCGCAGCCTCTGCAGCACGAGTTCAATCCCCGGCCAGGGAGCAACCCACATGGCGCAGTAGACCTCTCCTGTCTCACCCGCTGCTCCCCTCAGCAGTGTATTTCAGTCAGTCTGCCTGTTCTGCTCCCCACTCTGTCTCTGATGAATCTTCTCACCCCCCCTCCATTTCTGGCCTGTACCCCAGGTCTTGTATGCATAAATAAATAAATCTTTAAAAAAATAAAATAAAATAAAATATATACTTGAGTAGAAAAAGAATATATACACATCCAAATATTTCAGTAATCACAAATAGAAGCTTTTGGTCCTTGAAACCTACCCTTAATTAGACTCGTGAAGAATAGTCTGTGTCATCTAATTGTAAAGTCACTATATTTCATTTCTTGCACTGACTACATAACTCTGCACATACTATTTGCCCTTTCCTTTCCTTCTAAAGCTTTTAAGATAGATTATAAGATTTTTTTTTTTAAGATTTATTTATTTATTTATACAAGCCCTGGGTACAGTCAGAAGCGCAGGAGGGTCAAAGAATTCACCACAGCCAGAGAGAGGAATAGAACAGGCAGACTGACGATACACTGCCGAGGGGAGCAGCGGGCGGCAGGAATGGTCTGTGTGCCATGTGGGACCCTCGCCGGCAGCCAGGAATCAAACCAGCTCTGCAGGGGATGCGGGCAGCTTCGCAACCCAGCACTCAACCGCTGCACCACCGGGGAGGCCCAAGATAGATTATAAGTTTAAGAGAGTGTCTCTACCATGAGAACAAACTCAAGGTGAATGCTTCTATAGTTTCTATTTTAAGCAGCAACCAAGGAAACATTTTGTAAAATAGACATCACTTAGCTCTTTTTTGTTACTCAAACAATTTAAATATTATTATTAAAGTGTTTTCTCACAGTCTTCCAGAAAATATAAAAGGAACACTTACCAAGTCATTTTATGAGGGCCACATACTCAGACCCCAAACCAGACAAGACATTACTTAAGAAAACTAAAGCTAGTATCTGTCATAAACAGGGATGCAAAAATCTTTTTTTGCTTTTTGTTTTTTTTAAAAAATTTATTTATTTATTTATACAAGCACTGGGTACAGTCAGAAGCACGGGAGGGTGAGAGAATTCACCAGAGCCAGAGAGGGGAACAGAACAGATTGACAAAATACACTGCTGAGGGGAGCAGCGGGCGCAGCAGGAGAGGTCTGTCTCACCCTGCGGGACCCTCGCCGGTGGCTGGGGATCAAACCAGACTGCAGAGGCTTGCGAGCAGCTTTGCAGCCCGGTGCTCACCACTGCGCCACCAGGGGAGGCCCAGGATGCAAAAATCTTTAACACAAATTGCAAAAGAATGTCAACACTGATATGATTAGATTCAAAATCAATCCTAGAAAAATAGATCTCTAGTAAGTATCATTTCTCTGTTACCACTTACATTTGTTATGAAAAATATTTCTCCATTGCAGAGTCGAAGATCACTTTCAAAGTCATGCTTATTTTCAGCAAAACCATGAGGCGTACCATTAAGGTCTTCACCACTGGCATCCAGTTTGTTATTTTGCTGACTGCTGGAAGTATTTCCCGGGCGTAAGTCTGAGAGATATGCATTCTTGGTACAACAGATTTTATCACCAATTCCAAATACAGTTCTATTCCGACAGTCTCTGGGTTAGAAAATAATACATCATGAAAGTTTGAAAAACCACAATTTCATTTTGTTTAAGCATTAAGTTTCACTCAGACCCGATCCAACTCTCAAAATGATTTCCACTCTTTTTAATTTACTTTTGTTCTTCAAAGGTCAACAAGGTCTCAGACTCCCACATCTGGGGTCTACCTGTACTCTCTGCAAGACACTTTCCAGCCAAATTTTTTTAAGTTAGAAATCTTGGTAGAAATGCTGATGTTGGGATCTCCCTGGCGGCACAAGGGGTTAAATCTCAGCACTATGAAGCTATCAGGAGCCACTGGAGCATGAATTCAATTCTCAGCAAGGGAGCTAACCCGCATGGCACAGCAGACCTCTCCTGTCTTGCCTTCTGATCCCTGCAGCAGTGGATTTTAGTTGATTATAGTGGATTTTCAGTCGATTTAAGTGCCTGTTCTGCTCCCCAGTCTGTCTCTGATGAATCATTGCCCCTGCCACACACACACCTATACCCAATTGTTCTTTTTTTTAAAAAGATTTATTTTAGGGCCTCCCCGGTGGCGCAGAGGTTGAGCACTGCGCTGCGAAGCTGTCCGCAGCCTCTGCAGCGCCGGTTTGATTCCCCGCCGGCCAGGGAGAACCCCACATGGCGCAGCAGACCTCTCCTGCCTCACCCGCTGCTCCTCTCAGCAGTGTCTTCGGTCCGTCTGCCTGTTCTGTTCCCCACTCTGGCTCTGGTGAATTCTCTCACCCTCCTGTGCTTCTGACCTGTACCCCAGTTCTTGTATAAATAAATAAATCTTTAAAAAAAAGATTTATTTTATTTATGCATGCATGCAAGAGCTGAGGTGTAAGCCAGAGGTGAAGGGTGGGTGAGAGGATTCACTACAGATAGAGTGGGGAGCAGAACAGGTGGACTGACTGAAATATACTGCTGAGGGGAGCAACGGGGAGACAAGAGAGGTCTGCTGTGCCATGTGGGTCAGCTCCCTGGCTGGGGATCGAACTCGTGCTGCAGTGGCTGTGGATAGCTTTATAGTGCTGAGACTTTACCCCTTGCACCACCAGGCAGGCCCTATATCCCAATTCTGCTATGCAAAAATAAATAAATAAAATCTTTAAAAAAAAAAAAAGAAAGAAAAAAAGAAAAATTCTCTCCAGACTTTCCCATGACCATCTTGGAGCAGCTAGATGTTGACAATCTGGAAACCACAAGAACAACTTTAGTCCTTTTTTTTCTTATTACACTGAATTCCAAAAAGTCAATGCCTAAGAATATATTTTTAATGGGAGATTATTCTTCATAAATAAAGGAAAAAAGATTTTCGAATCCTACAGAGTTAAATGTCAAAACAAAAAAAAAGGTGAAACAAGAACGGACCATCCTCAGGGCATCCATTCTTTCAAGCACTCACTTAGTCAGACGACCCAAGTAGTACTTGCAGCAGCAGGCATTGATCACATCACAATCTTGCCTGAAAGACATAAAGTGCAGAGGTCCACTTAATGGTATCTGCAAGGTGCTTATTGCTATCATCAACAATCAGGATTTACTGAATTCTCCAAAGAGTTTCCAGAAACAAATATTTGATCATATTTTTCCTTCACATAAGTCTCTGTTCCATTCAGATTCCCCATGAGTTTCTTAATATGCTCTTTAGTGAAAAGAGGCCTATTTAGAAATGGCCCTCCGCCAGGCCTTGCAAAACAATTCTCAAAATAAGAAAATTAAAGTGATGAACTTGAGAGTTTCCTACTCCTATTCAAATATTTACATGAATAAGTTAAAAGATTTAAAAGTGAGATTAAAATAACAAATTCTTTACCTTCTGAATGCAATAAATTGTGATGTTTTTGCATTTTGTAAGTCGTTTTCTTTGAGTAAAGTTCTAACCGCAGAATATAAATCTGATCAATTCAAGAGAAAAAAAATCAAAGAGCACCACATTACCATATTGTTCTTATGAAGAAAACACTTCAGAATTCCTACAAAGGGATCCAGGAAAACATCACACCAAATAGAACACAAGATCACCCTGGAAACATCAACCTCACTCCCTATGTCAGCCAGGGCAAGAGAGAAGACAATAGAGACAAAGGTTCCAGATACCCCACCCTCAAGAGAGAGGCCAATCACTAGCAAGGCAACCCCTGATTTAAAATACAGTCATTCACATTCACTGATGGATTATGAATGCTCAATTTAAACTGAGCAAGAAAACAAAATAGAGAACAGAATTACTAATTTAAGACTTTCTATTTTAAGTGCTGGTGCTACTAGTGGTAATGAGTTATAATTTCAGAATCTACATGTTCTGCATATGCTATATCATTCAGTTAAATCTCCACATATAAGGCAAACGGTATTTATATCCAGGGCTGATGTTTAGCTGGTACATACCAATATAAAATATTGAGATTTCTTCTATAGTGGTTGGAAAATAGCTACTCCCCAAACAACACAATGCCCCAATTCCCATCCCAAACATCCCTTTCATTCCCCCATGACCCTCAGACCTCCCCACGATTCAGCAACTAAAAGGGTAATCCAGGTACAGCAGGGGAATCAATTTCAAGAATGATCATACCTATATCCTATCAAATATAGATCTTCCTCAACATACAAACAGGATTACATCCCGATAAACCCACTGTGAATTGGATATATAAGTCAAAAATACTGGCAACACAGAACTCCCCCCACCCTAGAGTATTTGTTTACCCCAGGAAGTGCATGGCTGGTTGGAACCACTGCCTCTGCCCGGCATCACAAGAGAGTATCACAAACATATCACCAGTCTGGGAAGATCAAAATTCAAAGTATGGTTTCTACTGACTATGGATCACTTTTACATCATCTTAAAGTAACTGTTAGTAGAATAATCCTAAACTGAACTATGGGAAGTCAGTGTCCAGTTTATCACTGCTGATTACATCCTTACTATGAGTGTGAAATAGAGACTCTTAGAAGTAAAAGTAATTTCCAAAAAAGGACAGGGTGGACCCAATCCTCTTTCAGAGCTCAAGTCACTAGCAATGATGACACCTACTTACAACATGTCCTTCCTCAAAGCACTGAGAAGCAGCTTCCTCTAATTTCCCTTAGCAACAATACTAAAAAGTGAGTATTTCTTATTAGAGAGAGAAGATATAAAAATTTGGGTAAGTGGGCCTTCCCGGTGGCGCAGCGGTTGAGCTCTGGGTTGCGAAGCTGCCCGCTGCCTCTACAGCGCCGGTTTGATCCCCGGCTGCTCACCGGCCACCAGAGGAGGGTCCCACATGGCGTGCAGACCTCTCTTGCCGCCCGCTGCTCCCCTCAGCAGTGTATTTCGGTCCTTCTGCCTGCTCTGCTCCCTGCTCTGGCTCTGGTGAATTCTCTCACCCTCCTGCGCTTCTGACTGTACCCAGTGCATGTGTAGACAAAACAAACAAACAAACAAATAAATAAATAAAACATGCTTCTATTAAAATAAATAAATAAATAAAATTAAAAAGTGGTTGAGACTCAGCTCACTCCCAGCCACCCATGGCCTGCCAGTGCAGGAAACTGCAAAAAGTCTCACAGAATACTGTTTTCTTTTAAAGGCACAGGATCGTGCTAGTCTGTAACTTGCTTTTTTCACTCTCTTTACAACTCACCAATCAATATGTTCACTGCTATTTGCTGATTCGAAGACAGGCATTTTTCTTACATTTCAATACCTCTGAAATTCTAATCCAGCTATGAAACCTGTCTTTGGTCTTCATACTTTGCAATTACAGGTATAACTTACTCAGTATTTAATGAAAAAGTATTATATGCCTCTCTAAGGACTATATATTCAATTCTCTTAAAGAGACTCATTTTCCAGTAGAAGTTTTTAACTAAGGTAGTAAAACAACAGCTCTGGCCCAGCTCTGCTACGATCCTGAAACAGAAAACTTTTAAAATTAGGTCAAAGTGGAGTGACAAAGAGGACACATTATTTCAAGTATCCAGAGTGCCAATGTCTTCATCTATATACTACATTCTTATAAGCAGCCATGACAATAATACTAGCTATTAATTATTGATAACGTACTTAACAAAAAAAAAAGTCAAAAAACAGTAAGAATCTTATAAACCAATTTATGTAAAACTAAAATAAATAAATAATGTATGTTTGAAATAAATATGTGATATAATAAGCTTTAAAAGGATAAACCACTAGGTCTTACTATGTATATGATCTCTATGGGCTTTGTCTTAGGGGAAGAAAGAGGAAGATTACAGGAAAATATTAATTTTTACTTGAAACACTGCTGCATCATTTGACTTTTTTAAGGAATGTGAATTATTTCTATAACCCAAAAACCCCCAAAAAGCATGGAAGCGAATACTTTATGTTACGTGATTCCATTTAAAAAGAAGAAAGAATATTATAAAATGTAAATGATCACTAACCCCAGAGAACTGAGACTGGTCACACACAGAGGAGAAATATTTACAGGTAAAGTTGTACTTTACTCTATTTAAATAAATTCATTTGCAATAGATAATTGAACAATAGCTACTATTCGCAAAAAGTTGACATTTCTGGATTGCTAACCGATGGATGCCCTCAGGCCTCACAGCAGCGCCACAGGTATGATCATTATGATTCCCAGTCTACAGATGGTTAAGAGACCTAACAATGGTCATGAACAAAAGGGAAAAGAATCTAATACCCTGTTCTTTCTCATCATGTCATATGATCCTCCTAACACCGTGATTAGAAGTGATGCTTGTCCATTTTATAAAAGAGAACTATTAGGAACTCAATTTGGCAATGCTTTGACAGAGATTCCTTTTTTTCACAAATGCACTCAGGATAACAAATGTATTTCTTTGCAAATTGCCATAAAAGAAAAACTTCATTCATTAAGACATGGTTTCTCTTAATGTGCTTGGATTACTGGGGCTATGCTTTATGCTTTATTTTAAACTAATCATCTGTGTCCACTTAATGTGTTCACTCAATATATATTTACTATGTGTGTGCCCAGAGCTTACCTCTTCATAAATTTCTAGGGTAATCTGCTTTTGATGATTAATAAACTAGTTATTTTCAGTGTCTCATTTTTTAGAAGCAATATTCATCTTTACCAAGAAATAAAACTATAACTAGTCATTTAAAAACTGTATTACAGGGGCCTCTCTGGTGGCGCAGCGGTTGAGCGCTGGGTTGCGAAGCTGCCCACGGCCTCTGAGGCACCGGTTCAATCCCCGGCTGCTCCCCGGCCACCGGAGGAGGGTCCCACATGGCACGCAGACCTCTCCTGCCGCCCGCTGCTCCCCTCAGCAGTGTACTTCGGTCCTTCTGCCTGCTCTGCTCCCCGCTCTGGCTCTGGTGAATTCTCTTACCCTCCCACACTTCTGACTGTACCCAGTGCATGTACAAACAAACAAATAAATAAATAAATAATAAAAACATGCCTCTATAAAAATAAATAAATAGATAAAAATAAAAATAAAAAAAAAATAAAAACTATTACATAATTGAAATTTAACCCTATATCATAGCAGTTTATACTTACAATGTGACTCAAAATCATTATTTGATAACTGAGAACCATCACACTTTTCTGGAAGTCTGACAAAAATAAATGTTTTATCTTGAATTGAGACAGGAACTGTTGGATTATCAAAGATATTCAGCTCTGCATCAAATGTTGGAAATTGGCGTTTTGAGATTCTTAAAGATAAAGTAATACACAAAGAACATTAGTATCCAAAATTATGTCTTCATATAAGATCACAGTTAATGCCAGTACAATAATTACTATCTATTAAAAGGTAATAAATGGGCAAAAGTGCCACCCATAGAAGTACTGTAAATAGGAAGTGAGCTTTATTTATTTGTTTTTTGTTTGTTTGTTTATTCTTTTTTGGAGGGGAGGGTGGAAATGAGTTCTAAAATAGAACTAACAAGCCCATAATGTTATCAATCATTAGTCCCCCACACTATTAATTAAAAGGGTTAGAGAAACTAAAAGCAAAGAAGGTGGGTATTGTTCTCATTTCACAGGTAAACAACATGAGGTTTAGTTGACTGTAGTAGGTTGCAGATACAGAAAACAGGGTGGCTAGCAGGCAAATCTGGGTCCATTTGACTCCATATTCCTTTCTGTTTAAAACAATTTGGACTCTTTGGGGCCTTTTCTACATGTTTACCCTATACTTCTGTTGTCCTGTTTTCTGTGTATAACACATATATGGCCTCATTTTCCCAACTGAACCAACTATTGACATTTTCTCTTTGTTTCTATTCTCTCCTCATCCTTTTCATCTTGTATTTCCCAGACAAGCAGGTCATATCAGAAAACAGAAAGGGGCAGGTGCCTTGTCATATCAGTCTCTCCTGAGTTACTGGCAAGAGGTCTGACTCCCAGAGCAGACCTACCAGCAACCCTTCCCAACAAAGGTTGAAAGGGAGGAGATGAGAGAGAAGGTTGCCAGTGCTAGGAATGTCCCAGATTTATGTTTTTCCATCCTGAGAATCAATATGGACTTCCTGTTTTGCTTCTGACTCAAGACATTAGGTACATTTCTATCTCTGGGAGCTTTTTCCTTGATATCCACTGAGATCTTTTTCTCAGTGAATAAATATTTGGTGATGATGATTAAGAAGAAATAATGAAAGGCAGACAGCCTTTCAAGGGTTACTAAAAGGAATTCTCAAGTTTCAGATAAAGCTGGGCTCTAAGAAATCTAGTGTGTTTTAGATTCTTACAAGTTTTCAAATGACCAGTTAGTTATCTACCAACATTTCAAAATTGTGGATGCCTTTAGATAGGAGCAGGAGGGCCTCCCAGGTGGCACAGCGGTTGAGCGCTAGGCTGCAGCACTGGTTTGTTCCCCGGCCGCCGGCGAGGGTCCCACAAAAAAAAAAAAAAAAAAAAAGATAGGAGCAGAAGGAATATAGGAAAAAATATTACACATCCAACTGCATTACTTTCCTTGGTGCTTAAGATGAAACTATATCACCTACCCTGTTCCTGTCAATTCTTCTTCTCCCCTCACCATCCTATCCAAGGTAGACCAGGACTATAATAAGGATAACAGGTCTTGAATGTGTTAGTTCCTGCTGACACCCAAACAAGGAAATGTTCAAAGCAACAGAAACAACATCTTGTAAAAGAGAATCCAAAACAAAGATAAAATGTAGGCCCAAAGAATAAAAGTCTCCTGGTATTCTAGGACCCCTTACAGCTAAAGATTTATATAAAACAAATGCCAAGGAATATACAAATGTTGATGCTGTGATACATGGGATATGGAGAAACAAAATGCCTAAACCTGGGGATCACGCTAAGGGCCTATGCAAAGATGAAGGGAAGAGAAGGATTCTTTTCTACCTTGAGGAGAGTAATGTGGCATGGGTGCCAGGATTCCCAAGGAGTGAAACACAATACAATTTTTTATTTGGCTTTGGACTCCATTACAAAACTAGGGGAAATTTCTTCTCCAATTCTCCCTTGAAGTCTAATGAACTTAATTTCAAGTTGCTACTCCCCTTCAGCTTATTTGAATCTTTAAGTTTAAGGCAACTTTAATTCGCATATGTATTTTTTTAATCATAAAGAAAAACACATAGATTCTTAAATTTCAATAATAATTTATGCTGGACCAGTAATGAAAAATATTAACTTTTTTTTTCTAAGTGTAAGAAAAAAGTTCTATTTACCCAAAGGATAGAACTGTATCATCCTAATTCAAAAGCATATATATATGTTTATATTTATGGGTTTTTTTAATCTTTTATTTCTAATGCAACAGAAAAAAATGCAAATACCTTGTAGCATTACCAACAATTAGCTCAGATTCCGCTCTATGGTTTTTCCTTAATTCAACAGCACAATTTTTTGACTTAAGGGTATCAAAAAGATCTTTCAGCAAGTTACCAGGTTCAATGCTGGGTAACTGCCTAATATCACCTAAAAGGGAAAAAATATATTAGGGTTTAGGTCACTGGGTCCTGAAATTTAGAAAATCTTTTTTATGCTTTCCCTACTGATATATGACATAATTTTGAAGATTTACTCTGAAGGGGAAAAAAAAAAATTATCGTCAAAAATATTTCTTTGAAATTTCATAAGAACATTAAGCCCTTATAAATACCTAATAAAACATCTTGAAATTAAACAATGTAGGAGAGAAAAAAAATACGACAACATAGTAGGTAAAATCTGAAATGAACTGCCTTCATACCCATAACCACAGGCAACCTGAATAGAGGCATACTTTTTTAGCCAACATGTAAAAAAGAAAACAAGCCCTTACATATGGAGTATTTAATCACTGAATCTTGCTCAATATGTTACTGAACATGGAAGAATGGGAGAAACTATGACATCAAATCAACAAAATAAACACATAAAATATAAAATAAAACCAATGCATTTCATAGTAGACAAATTCCAGAAATGTTGTAAATCCTCAAAGATAAGAAAAATATTTACTGGGGAAAAATGCTTTAGCCATTAACAGAACCAACTATTTATAAAAATCCTCAAATACCTACCAAAAATCACTTACAATTTGATTCTCACGTTACAATTCTAGTTTCTCTCTAGTAAAGCATATAGTCACTGAATCTCATCAGAATTTGAAAGGAGGTAAGAGAATAGTTATTAGCTTAAAAATCATAATATTACTTTTAAGTGGTCCATAATTTAGGCTTCGGACCATTCTGAATGACATACATCCTGATTCACATTGAGATTGTTACATTTTTACTAATAGTCATCACTTAGGTGATTAGCAGAAACCCCTCACAACTCTATTTCATTCACATCCAGACTTAAACAAAACTCGAGCCATGCTGATAATCAGTAGTCACATGGAGTTCAGTGGAGCTGTAGTATGGGCTCTGAGATATGAGGCCCACCTTTGGCAAATGGAAAACAGCCAAGTGGTATAAACCTACTAACCATAATCCTTTGAAATAAACATTAAAATTCCAATAACATTTTAACTTACCAAGGATAATAAGCTTAGAAAGTTTGGCATGCTCACACAATAAATCTAAAACGGATTTGAAGACCTGCACAGATACCAAACTCCCTTCATCCACAACCAGAACTCTAACAGAAGAAAATTTCCATGGCCGGTCCTTGGTGTTCATATTTTTCTTCCACAGATAGAAGCTATAATTGACCTACAAGCAAAGTATGGCATGTCTTAATTCAAGTTATAAAATATATCCCCAAAATTTAAGAGCATGATATTTTTAAACGAAACTATTAAATGGAGGAGGGTGGAAAATGTAGATAAATATAGGAAAAATGGTAAAGAAATAGAAAACACAATCGTTAAAAGATGAATATACAGAAAAGACAGGTCAAATAAACTGAAAAACAAAAGAAGGATCAAATCATTCCAGAAAGTCCTTCCTAATGAGTGGTATATGGTACAATGATTCTATGAAATCTCCTTAAAACAGCTTTTTTCATTTCATATCTTGCTTGGGAACCTAAATGGCTCCCTGGTAAATCAAGTCCAAGCTTCTTTGTTAGGGTCACAAGATGTATAATAAATGAGGAAATTATGAATCCATGAAAAGAGCAGTAAACTGGGAGGTCAGAAACATGAATTCAGAAAAAGATGTATAATTCAAGTTCTAGTTCTATACCTAAGTAAGATCTTGGGCAAGTCACTGAATACCTCAAAATTTTAGTGGTTCATCCGTTAAAACCTACCTATTTCACTGGTTTATTAAGGATTTAATGAGGCACAACAGACCTCTCCTGGCTCGCCGGCTGCTCAACTTAGCAGTGTATTTCGGTCAGTCTGCCTGTTCTGTTCTGCCGTCCTCTCACCCCCCACGCCTGTACCCCAGTTCTTGTATGCATGAATAAATCTTTATTTAAAAAAAGGATTTAATGAAATAATGTTGAAACACATTATAAGCTCTAAAGCTCAAATCCTCAGTTATCTCAAACAATACATGCACACTATGGTCACTTCTCTCAATATGTTTAGAAAGGTCTTTTCCCTAAATGAAATTACCTTCTCCCCACCTGAGCCTATCCTTTAGATCCAATTTAATTACTATTTCTTTCAGAAACATTCCCACACAGGGGCCTCCCTGATGGACTAGGGGTTAAGTCTCAGTGCTACAATCTGAGTTCAATGCCCCGCCAGGAAGCTAACTCATACATGGAGGCACAGCAGACCTCTCCTGTCTCACCCACTGCTCTCCTTAGCAGTGGATATCAGTTAATCTGCCTGTTCTGCACACCACTGCGTCTCCTCTGTCTGGTGAATCCTCTCACCACCCCATGGTCCCAGCACCTCTGGCCTACACCCCAGTTCTTCTACACAAAAACTATCTTTCAAGTATCCATTTGACACTTTAAACATGTAACATTTTTCAGGAATTGGTGTAGGCAAAGGAGATAAAGAACTAAACCAGGGCCTCCTTGGTGGCACAAGGGGTTAAGACACAGCCTATGAAGCTATCCGCAGCCACTGCAGCACAAGTTCAATCCCCAGCTAGGGAGCTACCCACATGGCGCAGCAGACCTCTTCTGTCTCGCCCACTGCTCCCTTCAGCAGTGTATTTCAGTAGATCTGCCTGTTCTGTTCCCCACTGTCTCTGGTGAATCCTCTCACCCTCCCACACCTCTGGCCTGTACCCAGTTCTTGTGTGCATAAATAAATAAATCTTTTTTAAAAAAGGGTTCAATTATAATGGTGATGGATGGGAACTAGTCTTTTGGTGGTGAGCATAACACAGCATATATAGATATTGATATATGTCTGTACATATGCAACCTATATATTACTATAAACCACTATTACTTTAATTTTTAAGAAAAAAGTAAAAGAAAAAACAAAAAACTCTAAATAAAGTTTGCCTTTAATGTAAATGTTTTATGTGCAGAAAAAAAGATGAATAATTTTACCTGGCATAGTGTATAGGCGTTGAAACCAGTTCTCTCTCTTAGTAGGGCAGATGCTTTCCCTGTAGGTGCTGTAAGTAAAACTTCTATAGCCTTGTCGGCTTTCTGCAGATTTTCCTCAGTAAAGGTAAACCATTCTTCTGGTACATCCTGGTCTTGTTCAAAATCTTCACAAGCTTTTTCAATTTCCCTTTCTTCCAACTGTTCTACGTGCTTAAAAAGATGGCTAACAATTGTGGTCTTCCCACACCCACCTTTGCCACTTATGACGGTCACAGCATTGGAGCAAATCATTTCCAAAGCAGTTACCTGATCCTGGTCCAGTTGAGCTTCACTTATTTCTGCATTAATTTCATTTTCAGCATTATTACAAATATGGTCACAGCTGTCCTGTGTTTCCAGAACATCCACAGAATTTTCTAATTTTGTTTCCTCAGGTTTACTTTCATTTAATGTGTTATCACTGCTTGTATCCACGGGTTTTGTGGTGGGAATAGAAGCAAGCACCTTTTTGACATCCACGTTCAAATGCCATGGAGGTTTTGTCATCAGGTCACTTATTGAAGAGGCAATGCCTTTTTCAGCCTGGTAAAGATCGTAAAGAAAGACACAGGCCTTCTCGCATACGACCACACCAATATCCTTCAAAAATGTCAGAGACTGACAAGCATCTTGAAAAGACATGTGTTCTGACAACTGAGATATTAAGTCATTTCCTTCAACACATGTATGCCCGTATTCGCGACATAGCTCCTTCAGTCTGGAATACATTATTAATGCATTCTTCTCCAAATCCATCATCAGCTGAAGAAGGGACTCACAATGACAAAATGCCATCCAACTTGCCTCACATCTCAGAAGTTTCAATTCTCTGTAGGTTATCTTTAAGAAAATAAAGTTCAAGTTGTTTTATAAAAATTGTAATTGTTGGGGCCTTCCTAGTGGCGAAGAGGTTAAGTCTCAGCACTATCCCCACTATGGCCTGAGTTTGATCCCCAGCCAGGGAGCTGACCCACATGGCGTAGCAGACCTCTCCTGTCTCACACACTGCTCCTCTCAGCAGTAGATTTCAGTAGATCTGCCTTTTCTGCAACCTGCTCTGTCTCTGGTGAATCCTCTCATCCCCACATCTCTGGCCTACATCCCAGCATTTCTATACACACACAAAAAAATTGCAATTATTGATAAATATTATTAGAATTAAAGTAAAATGATGTTATTTGTTAATATTTTTCAATCTCAGAAGACTTTTCAACTAAACTTATAGATAAAACTATGTACCCAAAACATCACTAATTTTCTTAAACTCCAAAGCTTTGTCATTGAAAATGTTTTTTCTCAAAGCAATACACACAGTTTTAAGTCACATAACATTGTGAGTTTCATTACAAAAAAAAACCCCAGAAATTCACTGCCTTACCCTTTTATGTTTCTCAAGCAACATATTCAACACTTTTAGTTATTTCTTTCAGAATTTATTATCTCCAGATTAATAAGTACAAGTTATAATATTACTTCACTTTGTAAAAATTTTACCTTATTTAGAATTAACTCCTTACTGTGGCAAATTTTCCCTGGGGGAGAGTTCTGTCTTTTACACTACCACCTCTAAACATGTTTCTCTTCCTTCCATCTTTTTTTTAAAAGATTTATTTATTTTATACAAGAACCAGGGTATAGGCCCGAGGCACAGGAGGGTGAGAGGATTCACCAGAGACAGAGCAGAGAACAGAACAAGCAGACAGATGAAAAACACTGCTGAGGGAAGCAGCGGGTGAGACAGGAGAGGTCTGCCGCACCATGTGCGACCCTCACCAGCCGGCCGGGATAGAACCAGCACTGCAGAGGCTCGGACAGCTTCACAGCACTGCGCTCAACAGCCTGCACCACCAGGGGAGGCCCCTCTTCCTTCCATCCTTTAATAAAGTTATAGTACACATTATTTATAACGTTTGGTTAAATCAGTGTAAAAAGGATTCACAATTAATTGAATGACATGAGATACTGTTAACTTTCACGTTGAAATCTATGTTTATCTAATAAGCCAACGACTGCCTCATTTTCTTAGCTTATTTGTTTTCTCTGTGCCTATGAACAATTCTGTCTATACTCTTCAGAAAGGTACAGAACTTCCTTCACCATGATCCACTTAGTAAGTTATCCAGCTCCATTTTTTTTTTTCATGGTAATATCCCTCCTGAGACTTTCCATCTATTTTATGGGCTGAATCGTGTCCCCCTCAAAATTCAGATGCTGATGTCCTAACCTCCAGTACCCCAGAATGTGACCCTATTTGGAGAAAAGGTCTTTGAATAGGTAATTTAGTTAAAATAAGATCATTGCGGGAGGAGGGAATTGTATGGTGAATACAACCAAGATGAAAATGCATACACTGTGCAAAAATGAAAAATGATGTAAAAAAATATATAAAATAAAATAAATTTTTAAAAATTAAATTAAAAAAACTAATTCCAAGGGGGAAAATACATATATATAAACAAAATGAAACAATAAATTTGAAAAATATTTGCAATAAAAAAAAAAATCATTGGGGTGGACCCTGATCCAATATGACTGGTGCCCTTATAAAACGCGATTAGGATACAGATGGGCACAGAAGGATGACCTTCAGAAGACACCAGGAGACCAGGAAGAGATGAACATTTACAAGCTTAAGGGAGAATACACAGAAGAAACCAACTCTGCCAACACCACAACACCATGATTTTGGACTTGAAGACTCCTGAACTGAAAATAAATTTGCTTCAGCCATCTAGTCTATGGTATATAGCACAGAAGCACAGGGTTAGCAGGCCTAGTAAACTAATAGCTCAGAAGCAGTCTATTCTGGATGGTGGCGACATGGTTAATAGGAGGGTTTCAAGTCCCCTTTTCTCACTTGAGTCTCAGAACACTCAGGGATCTATTTTTCTTCTCTACTAAATAAGTGTATACATAATTATCAAATGTTCTTATTTTTTGAAGCATACTGAAATCATCTTTATTTTATGTGAGAAAAAAACACATGAATTCAGTATTTCTCAAATGATGATCATCTAAAAACATTCTTTGGGTCACAAGAATTAGCTCAGAATCTTTAAGTTGTATTTTCCTTTGCAAAATCAACTATAATCAAGTATTGCCAAGATTTAAGTGCCACATTTGTTTTCCAGAGCTACTTTTCTACTCTTGGTCTCTAAGAATAAGAACAGAAGTGGATTTGTTTACACGGGATAGTTCTGTGCCAATAAAAGTATCAAATGATATCATGATGTACCATGTGAATAAAGAAAATTTTCAGAATTTTCAAATAGGAATGTGGGGGTTGAATTACACAGCAGAATAGACTTGGCAAACATCTGTCCACATGTGATTTTTTAACTCAAGTTGCTAAGGACAATTTAGTTACCAAAAAGAATGTCCTTTTAAATTATACAATTAGGTTATTATATAAATACAAATAGACATAACGTGAATGTCATCAATTTTGTTATTTTGTTTTACCTTTATAAACATACTGTATAAGTCTATATTTAGATGTAACACTCAAAAAAAATAAATCAGGGCCTCCCTGGTGGCGCAAGGGGTAAGACGCAAACTATGAAGCTGTCCACAGCCTCTCCAGCACGAGTTCGATCCCTAGCCAGCCAGGGAGCAACCCACATGACGCACAGACCTCTCCTGTCTCGCCTGCTGCTCCCCTGAGCAGTGTATTTCAGTCGGTCTGTCTGTTCTGTTCCCCACTCTGTCTCTAGTGAATACTCTCACCCCTCCCTCCACACACACACACCCCTCTGGTCTGTGCCCCAGCTCTTGTATGCATAAATAAATTAATCTTTTTTTAAAAAAAAATAAGAAAAAAGAAAAATTAATACACAAATTGTTGCCTTTGAAAGAGATGCAAAATCTGTCAAGTTTAGAAAACTTGCTTTATATAAGATTATTAAATGTTGAACAAGTCTTACTTACTTTACTAAATCCAAGTTTCCATGGTTGTGTAATTAAAATTTCTTCTATCGCTTCCAACACCTCTTTTGAACTTGAACTTATGATCTGTTTAAAGTGTCGAGGCAGAAGAACTGGCAGAAATTCCATTATTTTGGGAAACTGCAAAGCTGTCATTGCACTTATAAATGGGACTATAAGATATCAGAAAGTACAAATTAAAACATACAAATGAACTCACACAACAATTGATTTGATGGACTTTCTCATGCAGCACAAATAATTCAAGAAATCCAAATCAAAAAGGAATTAAAAAAATTTACTTTAACTATCAAGAACATTGTTCATATTATAATTGCTTTTATACTGAGATGATTTTCACTGTGTTTGAAACCAAAATTTACAGTTATTATAGCTTGGATAATGACTTCTTAACCATTTGTTTCCTTTTGCTTGTAATATAGTCAGAATAAAATTTTTGACTCAGTGATATAAAGATAAATTTACAGCTAAGCACAAAAAATAAATCATTCACAAATTCAGCTTTATAATAATTTTCTGGCTGTAATCACAAGTCTTTTGTCATTGAATATATTCAATGACATACTACCAACTGTGGAAAACCAAATAACAAACCATACTCAAAAGATATTTTAAACAATTTTAGACCACAATCTTTCCAAAATCCATTACATATATATCCTTGCCTTTCTCCTATGCCTGCTTGAACAGAATTGACAACTGAACTTTTTAATTACTCAAGGTAATTCTCCTAAGGGCACAAAAGATAGAGAAAAAGATACAATCTCAGATTTGAGCAGCAAAGGAAATAAAGGAGCTTAAAGAACATCTCATCCAATTTCTTCACTATAGAATATAAACCCCTTTCATCAAACTGATTCTACCAAAGAAAACTCTACCAAGACACTATAGTGGTAATATTTTAATCACATTGACATTTAAGTATCTCATTTATACTAAGACTCAACGGCCAAATCATACTTACTTGTGCTTTCCAGAGGAAGGATCCTTACATAATCTGGTAGTGGGTCTTCCTGTTCACTCTGGATAGATTGTTTTTGATCATTCTTTTCAATTTCCTTTTGGAAAGTTCTTAATGTTTCCCTAATATTTCCAAAGTTGAGGTTTTCATAGCTTGATACAGCATTTACCCATGCTAAAAATTTAGTTATGTTATCTGAGGGAAAGTTACAATCTTTAAGAAAGAGGGAACAGATATGCTTTTGATTTGGAGGTGACATATCAGATTGTAAAAAGTAAGATGGAAATCCTTGAGCTTGATAGCAGTTCGATCCTGCAGGCTTTACTCGCACTTTCACTCGCCACCAAGGACCAGTTATTGGAAAACGTCCCAACACATCGAATGTTTTTTTAGTGCTGTCATCAAATATTACAGCTTGAAAAAAACATAATTTAGGACATTTTAAAACCTTTTTCGCAATGTTATACTAAACACACCACACTCTATCTCCCTACAGCACTCTGTGCAGATGTCTACTAAGGTATCTATATCGCACTAACATAGTTATCTGTCTCCCTCTACTAAACTGCAAGGTCTCTAAATAGGCCAATGTATCATTCAATCTTTGTATTCCAAAAGGTAGACATAGAACATAGCAAAAGTCTGCTATCCCTCCTCTACAAGCAGTCTTCTCTCTGCTACTCATTCCACAGCCAAAAATAATCTTTCTGCAGTTTCTTGAAAAAGCCATGTCCGGGGCCTCCCCTGGTGGTGCAGCGGTTGAGCGCTGGGCTACGAAGCTGCCCACAGCCTCTGCAGCGCCAGTTCAATCCCTGGCCCCCAGCGGGGGTCCCACATGGTGCACAGACCTCTCCTGCTGCACCCGCTGCTCCCCTCAGCAGTGTATTTTGTCAGTCTGCCTGTTCTGTTCCCCGCTCTGGCTCTGGCGAATTCTCTCACTCTCCTGTGCGTCTGACTGTACCCAGTGCTTGTATAGATAAATAAATAAATCTTTTAAAAAAAATTTAAAAAATAAAAATAAAAAGCCATGTCCCACTCACTACAGGGTCTCTGCATCAACTATTTTATCTACCTCCAATGTTCTCTTCAGGTTTTCCCTACTTACTACATACTTGTCACTTCTTCCAGAAAGCCTTCCCTGAATCTCATGAATATGCCTTTTCATAACACCATTTACTTTTCCTTCTATGCACTAAATAGCACTACCTTATGTCTGTGATTATTTAGAAAATGTCTTCTTATCACTAGAGGATGAGCTCCATTAATACAGTAATCTCTTGGCCTTCCTGGTGGCGCAAGGGGTTAAGCATCGCACTATGAAGGAATCCACAGCCTCTGCAGCACGAGTTCGATCCCCGGCCGGCCAGGGAGCAACCCACATAGCGAACAGACCTCTCCTGTCTCGCCCACTGCTCCCCTCAGCAGTGTATTTCAGTCTGCCTATTCTGCTCCCCACTCTGTCTCTGGTGAATCCTCTCACACTCTGCATCTCTAGCCTGTACCCCAACTCTTGTATGCATAAATAAATAAATCTTAAAAAAAAAAAGACAGTAACCTCTTAATTTGATCTCTCCAGGGTATTCTAGGGACAAAAATTTACTTGGAACATAGTAGCCCCTCAATACTTTTAGAATAAGTGACCACACTCTTCACATACACTTAAAATTTTTCTGTCTAAACCCTTGCTGTCAGGCCTCCCTGGTGGCGCAGTGTTTGAGCGCTGGGTTGCGAAGCTGCCCGCAGTCTCTGCAGCGCCGGTTCAATCCCCGGCCACTGGGTGAGGGTCCCACATGGCGTGCAGACCTCTCCTGCCTGCTGCTTCCGTCAGCAGTGTACTTCATCAGTCTGTCTGTTCTGCTCCCCACTCTGGCTCTGGTGAATCCTCTCATCCTCCTGCGCTTCTGACTGTACCCAGTGCTTGTATAAAATAAATAAATAAATCTTTAAAAAATAAATAAATAAATGACAGAGACAGGGAGACTGTTTCTTTATCTGTAAAATGTGAACAATAAAGTTCTTAAAAAAAATAAATAAACCCTTGCTGTCGACCCACATGCGACTATTTAAATCTAAAATAATTTCAACTAAATAAGATTTTAAATTTATTCCTCAGTTTTACCATCTGTATTTCAAGTTCTCAATAGCCACGTGTGACTAATGGTTAGTGTACAGGACCGTGTAAACAGTACACAGTACCGTAAAGTCTTTCTTGTGTGTAGATTTTAAGTAGCTGCAAAATAAACACATATTTGATTCCAGGCAGGATAGGAAAACGATTAAAAAGCCCTGACTGGGTGTGAATGCAGGCTCCACATCCATTGTTTCCTCGACTATAAAACTAACTTCAAGAATCGTGAACATAGGGGCCTCCCTGGGGCCCAAAGGGTTAAGCACCGCACCAGGAGGCAATCCGCAGCCACTGCAGCACGAGTTCGATCCCCGGCCAGGGAGCTAATCACATGGCACAGCAGACCTCTCCTGGCTCACCTGCTGTTCCCCTCAGCAGTGGATTTCAGTGATATGCCTGTTGTGTTCCCCACTCTGTCTCTGGCGAATCCTCTCACCCTCCACATCTCTGGATGTACCCCAGCTCTTGTATGCATAAATGGGTGAATCTTTAAAATAAATAAATAACATGATACATGTAGAGCACAACTTAAAACACAGTATTTGCTCGGTCACTGTCGCTATTATCATCAGTATTATTTTATCCTCAGCAGAACGAAACTGTTAGACATCCCCGAGGAAGGCCGTCAGCAGCGATCAGGCCAGCTCAGGAAACTTGGCTCCCCCTCCAGTCCCATGCCCCAGGGGCGGGCTGCTTCCTCACCGCGGCGGTACCCAGGTAGGCTGCCAGGCTTTACACCCCCACTGCAGAGCTCCTCGGCGTCCACAAACTCCAGGTCATCTTCCTCCACCTCCTCCTTTACAGAGTCCTGCTCCGGGTCCTCCGCCGGGTCCTTGGGTGGGAGCAGAGCTCCCTGGAGCTCGCGCAAGTGCCTACTCGGGAGAGCCATGCTCGCCGCCCCGGACTTGAGCCCAATTCCGGGAAGCCGGGGCTGGAACCCGCCAGACGGGCCCGTCCGCGCCGCGACTCCAGACCGACACCTTCCGGGCACGCCCCCTGGAGCCGCGGGCACGCCGGGGGCGGGGCGGCGCCGGGATTCCACCCCCTGTTTGGGGGACTCGAGGAAAGGCGGGGAGGGTGCGGTCGGGACTGTGCCTGTCAATCAGACGAGTGGGCGAGAAGCCGGGACTCAGCTCCCCCACCCGGCCGCTGCGGCGAGCCCACCCTGCCTCCCGCCGAGAGACACGAGGCAGAGCGAGCCTGGCGAGCCCATACGAAGCCTGGACGTCTCTCCAGTGCTGAGCATTGCCTGGTCGAGAATGCTTTGGGCCTCCGTTTCATTAAGGTGTTGAATTTATATCATCAAAGGCACTTACTCTGTCCTCCCCAGCGGTGCAGGCGGTTGAGTGCTGCAGCTGTCCGCAGCCTCTGCAGCACGGGTTCGATTCCCGGCCCGCCAGGGAGATACCCACATGGCGCGGCAGACCTCTCCTGCCTAGCCCAGTGCTCCCCTTGTAACAGGGTGGTCCCCAGGAAAGGGGGAGGTTCCAGGTTCCCTGCCCCACCCAAGGAAGGGTGGAGCTGAGCAGGAAGAGGAGAAGCTGCAGAAGAGACTGAGGAAGGAGGGAAGCAGGATGGAGCCAGGAGACCTGGAGGAGGCGCATGGAGCCTAGAGACACGTGAAGAAACTGCGCTTGTCTTTGGGTTGTGGACTGGGTGACACAGACGTGGGTGAGACCCATGGGGAGGTGACAATGGCAGCTTTTATCTTGATGTTGATTTTGCTCTTTTCCTTCCGGGCTTGTCTGGTTGTTTCTGACCCTTTTCTGTGGGTCCCCACAGGAAGATGCTTTAGACTTGTGGCAGGCTTTGGGGCCTTGTTCTGGGCCAATCCCATATGGATGGACTTTTACCCACGAGGGGACGGGTAACTTTGGGTGCTTCATTTAGAAACTAGACTCTTTGCCTTACCTGTATTGTTTCCTAGTTTTATTAAAGTTCCTTCCCATTAAAGTCTCCTATGTTTTGTGTTGATGCGGCGGATGGCAGAACCCATTTAGAATAGGCAGGTTTGCGGGGCTTGGGCTACCCCTCTCCCTGTCCTATAACACCCTCAGCAGTGTCTTTGGTCCGTCTGCCTGTTCTGCGCCCTGCTCTGTCTCTGGTGAATGGTCTCACCCTCCCTCGCCTCTGACTGTACCCCAGTTCCTGTATAAATAAATCTTAAAAAAAAAAAAAAAAAAAAGGCACTTACTCAAGTGCCAGATCTCTCGGTCCCATTCCAGACCAGTGTGTAGGGATCCATTTATACTCAGTCAAATTTGGAACTCACAGGGTTAGCTACATTCAAAGGCCTTTTCCTCTCAGTACATCATGGTCTCCCAAGCTTCTTTAAGCTGGCATCCTCCCTGTTCCAGGTGGGGCAAAAAAAATAAATCTACTTGCTGAAGGAAGTTACCAGGAGCCATCGTTCTCATACTCAATGTGCATACTGTCAATATTTGAAAGTCATAGTGCAATGAGGAACACCATAAAAATATATTGCTACCTTTCTATTTTGATGCTACTTATTATGCAATGACTATTAATAATACACCTAAAAATAACTAAGCATGTACTGTTCATTAAATCCAAAAGCATCTTGTGCTATATTCTAACAGAGAAATACAGCCAGCATCAAGGATTAAAGAGGTTTATGGGAGAAAATAATAATGTGATGCTCTCCCTTTGGGGCCAGATGTTCACTTCTGTTGCTTTTAGAAGTGTCGCAAGCGTGATAGATAAGCTTCAGTCAGAAGTTGGCTCTCAAAGAGAATTTTATTCCTTTATTGGTCACACAAACACTTATGTTCAAATAGGCAAGCTAACCCCAATTCCCAAAGTACTTTTGATGAAGATAGTAGCCGCAACATGTCTTAGCTAGGCCTTCCACCTAGGTGGAAGAACTCAGGCTTGTGGAAGTCTCTAGGTTCCAGGGCCCACAGTGCCCATGGTCGCACAGGGTGTTGAGCTGATAGGCACCTTGTGCCGCTGTCAGGCAGCAGGCCACTGGTTTGTGGGGAGCAGAGCTGGGAAGTGCAGGTCGGTTCGCAGAGTGCTTAACCTGGGAGCCAGGAGCAGGGCAAGGAGAGGTTTCGGCATGTCAGAGTCCAAAGGGAGGGAGCGGGCTGGACTCTGGAAAGGTAGCCTCATTAAGTCCTTTGCTCTGAGCCAGTTGATAGGACTGCTCTGAGTCCGCTTCAGATAACCGCTCCTTTTATACCTTTTTATCAGGCTTTTATACCTTTTTATCAGGCGTAGGCTCAGGCACCATCTGCTATATCAGTCTTTAACCCTCAGTATGTGGCCTCAGCTACTCACAGTGCTCACAGGCACCTTAATATTTTCAGTTTTACTTGTAAGCTTTATATGTTTGTTACAAGAAGAAAACTCTGTTGCAGCTGACAAAACATCTGTGTTTCTATAACAGGGTGGTCCCCAGGAAACCTGGAACCTCACAGATTCCTATTGATGGAACTGTTGAGAGTAAAAATTTCCTACAAAGGACTAAATAGACCTGGAAATACACCTGATTTTTACTAAGTTTTCTTTGACATATACTGGTAAATTTTTTTTTGTGTGTGTATTTTGTTCTGAATCCACAAAATTTTCTTGTTTTGACTGACCAGGACCTGCAGCAATGTTTTTTTTTTTCTTTTTTTCAACAGAGCTAACTTGTGTTTGCGATTTCTTTCTCCTTGATACCAACACAGCATGAAAATAGTGGTAGTAATTTTTAATACTCATGTCAGTGTCTATTTTTGCATAACTTCCATAGGGATTTTGTCTGCTTAAAACAAAAACAATTGGAGATGAGTTTCATTGTGTGGCTTTGAATGGAGTTCTTCCAGGAAGTTGAAATAGAGCTGAACCAAGAAGAAGAGAATCTGCTGCTTTGTTTGTAGGGTTCCAGAGACCGCCAAAGAAGGTGAGAAAGCTTGCCTCCGTTGGCAGGACTGGACACCCCACTCACAGTGCTTGCTTTTTCCCGAAAAAGCCCTGGTACCCTCGAGAAGAGGAAGCCCAGGTGGAGTCTGGTGAGACCAACTTTGTTCTTGAAGCCTAGTGGACCGGATTGTCAGGAATTTGCTCTGATCCTATATGGAGTATTCCAACAAAGCCAGCGAAAATTGCTCTTTAGTTATTCTGCCCTGTGATTGTATGCGAAAACAGGCACTATGGTTTAAAAGTAGATTTAGTTTGCAAACTTTTGCTATGCTGTTGAAACAATTTGGGATCAAGATTGAGAGAACTTGTTTTTTTTTTTTTTACATAAGTTCAGCCAGTTTTAAGATTTTTTTCCCTGTGATTTTGATATATTTGCTGTCTTGTTTTAGCTAATGCCTCCAGATTTTTATTCTTTTGGCTTGGATAATGGACTATTTACCAGTAATGGAAAACTGTCATACTGGACATTCATGGACAATGCTGCTGAGTGATTGTTGCTTCTCTTACACACGTTGTAACCCTGAAAAAAGACTGTCTCCTAAGACTGCACCCTGAGATCTGTGACACCATAGATATGGTGGAATAAAAATTAAAAGGGGGGATTGTAACAGGGTGGTCCCCAGGAAAGGGGGTGGTTCCAGGTTTCCTGCCCCACCCAAGGGAGGGTAGAGCTGAGCAGAGAGAGAAGAAGCTGCAGAGGAGACTGAGGAAGGAAGGAAGCAGGATGGAGAGCCAGAAGGAGACCTGGAGGAGGCACATGGAGCAGAGAGACATGCGAAGAAACTGCGCTTGCCTTTTGGTGGTGGACTGGTTGAAACAGATGTGGGTGAGAGACCCGTGGGGAGGTGACAATGTGGTTTTTGTCTTGATTTTGATTTTGCTCTTTTCCTTTCAGGCTTGTCTGGTTGTTTCTGACCCTTTTCTGACCAGCCCTGTAACATTTCCAAGGACCATCTTATATGACTTTGAATTCTTCCTTAACACAACTGCTGGCTACTGTTTCTGTTACAGGGCAGGGAGAGGGACAGCCCAAACCCCGCAAACCTGCCTGCTCTAAATGGGTTCTGTCATCTGCCGCATCAACACAAAACATATGAGACTTTAATAGGAAGGAACTTTAATACAATTAGGAAACAATACATGAAAGGCAAAGAATCTAGTTTCTAAATCAAGCACCCAATGTTATCCATCCCCTCATGGGTAAAAGTCCACCTAAGCAGAATTGGCCCAGAGCAAGGCCCCAAAGCCTGCCACAAGTTTTAAGCATCTTTCAATGGGGACCCACAGGAAAGGATCAGAAACAACCAGACAAGCCTGGAAGGAAAAGAGCAAAATCAACATCAAGATAAAAGCTGCCATTGTCACCTCCCCACGGGTCTCACCCACATCTGTGTCACCCAGTCCACGTCCAAAAGGCAAGCGTAGTTTCTTCACAAGTCCCTAGGTTCCATCTGCCTCCTCCAGGTTTCTTTCTGGTCTCTTTCTGGATCTCCATCCTGTTTCCTTCCTTCCTCAGTCTCCTCTGCAGCTGCTTCTCTCCCTGCTCAGCTCCACCCTCCATTTGGGTGGGGCAGGGAACCTGGAACCTCCGCCTTTCCTGGGGACCACCCTGTTACATTTCCATTACTTTGAATCTGCTCTGAAAAAGATCACCCTACTGGTCTTTTTGTTGCTAAATCCCATGAATACCTCTTAGTCTTTCTCTCATTTCCTTTCTAAGAAGTATTTGACATGGATAACTATTTTCTTTTTTTTTTTTTTTTTAATATTAAATTTTATTTTTATATTCCCCCATACAATTGCAAACGCCCCATTCTGACCCCAATCCTTCCCCTCCCGCCCCCCACCCCCCAAAAAGTGTCTCTGGTTCATAGTTTTTTGTTGATTTTGATTTTCACTTTCTTATATTCATTTTCCTGGTCCCTTATTTAAGATTTCTAGATTCCTGCTATGAGTGAGACCATCCGGTATTTTTCTTTTTCTTTTTGGCTTATTTCGCTGAGCATGATCCCTTCCAGCGCCATCCATGTTGCTGCAAATT